ACTTCAGAAATATTAATTGTAACCACATTAGTTACAATCAATGAACTCCTTTGGAAATTTTATTCATTATGTCATATTATTTATTAGATTCTGTTGGTGGCAAGCAACAGAAACTAATCTTTTACTGGCATAATTAAAATTGTTGATTTAATATAAGAATATTCAGATGTCCAAAGGAACTCAAGGACAGTAATGTGGCTGGGCTTCCTGAATAACTTGATCTAATAATTTACATTCTATCAGTATCCTCTCTGTGTCTTGTTTCTCTGTGAATAGCTCGTTATAAACTTGCTTTTTCCACATGGAAGAGTATATAATGTAAAAGGCAAACCTTTTACATTTTGTAGTTTGGACCAGCCATGAGAAGTTGATTTCTCTAATCCATTATAGTATCCAAAATCCTTGATTTACACGAAGACAAGCCTTGAAACTTCTGATTAAAGGGAGATTTTTCAGATTTGTAATGAATCTTCTTCAAATTAATAAGATAGGCATGTTGAATGTGTCTCCCACTTTATGGATCACTACCCAGGTACCTGTAGCTGTACAGTGGATAGTGGTGCAAGGGACTTGGAACTTGGGCAGCTTATATGTGGATGGAACATGATAGGCTCTATACACCCAGACTAAGAAGGGAAGACAGAAGACTGGAATCTGCTGAGGCACTGGTGGGATGTACCAAAAACCAAACCAAACCCATCACCGTCGAGTCAATTCCAACTCACAGTGACCCTATAAGGCAGAGTAGAACTGCCCCATAAGGTTTCCAAGGAGTGGCTGGTGGATTCGAACTGCTGACCTTTTAGTTAACAGCTGTATCTCTTAATCACTGCACCACCAGGGCTCCAGTGTGATGTAGGGGTCCAATAAAAGAGAGTATCCAATATGGAGAGAGAGGGCATGTATGGCAGGGTACTGTGGAATCAGAAGAAGCACGGAGAGAGCTGTCAGAGTACCAGGGAAATCAGTTTTAAGACTCAGAAATCAAACTCGATAAAACTAGGCATGAATTCACATGATTATAAAAGTAAGTATAGAAACAGGAGCCGGGCTGAGCTCTGATGAAACTATTGACTGGTGAGGAGAACACACTCATGGACCATACTTGGAATTCTACTGAATTCCTATTGCTACCACTATAGATCTTTATTCTGTACTGATAAATGTACCGTTGAGTACCTAAAAGATTCCAAGGTACTTCTTTGAAAGAAGAGTTAGAGGGCTGTGGGGTTCCTGGAACAAAGCAAGAGGAGGTAATAGCTAGAGTAACAGCACAGTGGGAATACGTGTTATTCAGGATGGCCCACCATGGCATCCCCTTAGCACTCACACCAGGGAGTTGCCAACATCAGATGTACGGTATGTATGTGAAAATAGCAACATTACATAGACAAGTGATAAATGGCATTATATAGGACATGGGTTTATATATAAAATTTATTCCCAAAACAAATCATTATAATTCATAAGAGGAAAAACAAAAATAAGATGAATGAAATCCCAATAATCAAACCAATAAATATTTGTTGATTAAAATTTACTAGACAATATGGGAAAATACAAATATTGGGTATAACACTCAGAGGGTTTTCTGTACAGTTAAGGAGGCAAGGGAAAATTTTTGGAGTTATGGGAACCAAATAGAAAGCATAGGAGAGACATCATCAAAACAAAAATAAGCAAAGAATACCAAAAACCAAGAAACCAAACCCGTTACCGTCGAGTCAATTCTGACTCATAGCGACCCTATAGGACATGGCAGAACTGCCCCATAGAGTTTCCAAGGAGCGCCTGGTAGATTTGAACTGCCAACCTTTTGGTTAGCAGCCATAGCTCTTAACCACTCCACCACCAGAGTTTAAGGCATCACTAAATTGCTTTCAACATCTAACATGCAAAATCCGAAGACATCTCTATCTCACCTTCAGGGGTGATCTTTGTTTTGTCTGGATCTTGTATGATACTTCAGTGTAGGAATCTCATATACTGCAGTACTGGGAGTTCCTCTCTTGTGATGGAGCCCCCTAAGTCTTGGGATCATATAGCAGCTTAGTGGGGAGAAAACTGATTTTGAAGTCAGAAAAGCTAGTGTTCAGATCTCAGCTCTCATTTTCCCTGAGCCTCAGTTTTCTCATCTATAACATGAGGATAATGATAATAATGCCTCTTGAATACAATTTTGTAGAGATTAGTTGAGTATATTTATGCATATAATTATACATGAGAAATAAGTAATAAATGGTAGTTATTGTTATTATTACTTTTGACATGAGAGGTTGTCTTAGAGCAGTCTAATCTAATGCAATCTCATCAGGCCTCTTGAATGCAATCATAGCCACTAGCGGAGGCATTCAGGATTTTGTGGGTACAAAGAGTTCACAACTATCCAGCAATATCCTTACACTAGTCCATGTTCAGGGACATTTGTTGATAGTATCTAACATTAATTCTATAAATTAATGTAAAAAGTTACAGTTTACAAAGTACGATCAAATAATAGCACCTCATTTGATCTTCAAACAACCTTTTGGAAAGATGATTATTACTATTCATTCCCATTCTACAGGAAAAAGGGAGGGAAAATGAATCAGAAATGGTTAGTGGACTTGCCCCCAGATGACACCACCAAGAAGTTTCTGAACCCCCAAATCATAAATCAGGTGATTGCTGAGCCTAACTTGAATGCAGATCTTCTAAATTCAAACCTCATATTGTTCTCCCTGTATTACATGCTTCTTAGAAAGCATTGTTTTGTTTTTGTTTTTTTGGTTTTGATGGAATCCATTGGGAACTGTCTTTATCCAAAGCCCCTATTTACCCACAAGGTACTTCCCATCAGGAGTTATGAATATACCATGAACACGTAGTTGACCCACTATGTAGATATGTAGACCAGGATTATGATCACCATGTGTTTTTGGTTAAAACATGGAATTTTGCTTTGTAGAATCTACTGGATTGCCATTTGTTGTATCACTTGATTAGGATTCCACAGGCACACATGGGCATTAAAAAGCTATTAACTCTGTTAACTCCAGAGGGCACAGCTAATGAAATGTCCCAAAAGTTGAGCACTTGCCAAAACCACCCTGTCGTATAGGACAGCTCTCGATTAATCATGATGAGATTACTTCCTTTATCTAAATGAAATCTGTAATTTGGGGAGGAGATTAAAGATCCTTGTGGGGATAAAGGGAAAGTTGCTGTGAAAATTCTAGAAACTAAAAATAAAGATAGGTCTCCTCAATATTCATGAAGTCAGATTGGTTGATGCAAATAGAGATTGCAACCTCTTATTTTCTAATGACTTGGCTTGTAGCACTTGGTGTTACTCAGATTCCTACTCCACTTTAAAGGGGATGACTGCAGTTTGCACAAAATATTTTTTTTAGAAGAAAGTTTAACACAGAAGAAAACATTCTTTGATGGTTACCGGGGGGGGAAGGAAGGTGAGGGTTATTTACTAACTAGATAGTAGATAAGAACTATCTTAGATGAAGGGAAGGACAGCACACACTACAGAGGCAGTCAGCATAACTGGACTAAATCAAAGCTAAGAAGTTTCCTGAATACATTCAAACACTTTGAGGGACAGAGTAGCAGGGGAGGGGTCTGGGGACCATGCTTTCAGGGGACATCTATGTCAACTGGCATAACAAAGCTAATTAAGAAAATGTTCTGCGTCCTACTTTGGTGAGTGGCATCTGGGGTCTTAAAAGCTTTCAAGCAGCCATCTAAGATGCATCAATTGGTCCCAACCACCTGGAGTAAAGGAGAATGAAGAACACCAAAGACACAGGAAAGTAGTAGCCCGGGGACAGAAAGGGCCACATAAACCAGAGACTTCATCAGCCTGAGACCAGAAGAACTAGATGGTGCTCGGCTACCACCAATGACCGCCCTGGCAGGGAACACAACAGAGAGTCCCAGATGGAGCAGTAGAAAGATGGGGTGCAGAACTCAAATTCTAGTAAGAAAACCAGACTTAATGGTCTGTCTGAGACTGGAGGGACCCCAGAAGACATGGCCCCTGGATTCTCTATCAGCCCAGAACTAAAACAATTTCTGAGGCCAACTCTTCAGACAGGGATTGGACTGGACTGTGGGACATAAAGTGATACTCATGAGGAGTATGCCTCTTGGCTTAAGTAAATAGAAGAGACTAAATGGGCAGCTTCTGTCCAGAGGTGAGATGGGAAGGCAGAGAGGGTTAGGAGCTGGTTGAATGGGAATCAGGGGTGGAAAGGGGGAGTGTGCTGTAACAGTACGGGGAGAGCAATTAGAGTCACGTAACAATGTATGTATAAATTTTTGTATGGGGAAAAATAAATAAAATACAATAAAAAAATAAAAAGAAAAGAAAGTTTAATATATCCAGTACTGTTTTCTGCCATCTTTGATTAATTTTTTAAATTTTCCACCAGAAGATTCCTGATGTATGTAATCAGCAGGTGCATAAATGATGAAGAAAAGATATGATACAACATGTGTAAATGTATATTTAAGATGCCAATAAGTGAACCCTTCTCTTTTGCATTGAATCCGACCTACTCTCAAAAGGCAGTTTAAAGAGAAGAGCTGTAAATAACAGTTTAGGTTTACTTTTGCTTCCTTGAGAGAGAAATCAAATTTCTTTAGCAAAGCTGTTACTGTTTTAAAATGAAATGTTGCAAAATTTAACTTTCATAGAATTTATTAGAAATCCTTGCTTCATACATAGCACAAATCTTCACCTCCTGTGCTGTTGGGTAAAAGTTAAGAGAAAATCATTGCAAGTCTTGTTGCTTATTTCATTTCATTATGTGATAAATGTAGCAAACAAGTACTCAGAGTGAGGAGAATGGGAAGCTCTGAGCCATTTCATTTGTTCCCCTTAGAGCCTGACATGGTACCTGTACATGTCCTCAAGAAATGCTAGTTGAGCTCTTTGTTAAATAAGTTAACAGATTCCATCTTGGAACAGATTGTTTTTAACATTTTTTTCTACTTCTCTTTTTTAGGCCAGTCCTGCTCCTATAATTGTCAACACAGATACTTTGGACACGATTCCTTATGTAAGTAACAGTTTGATTAAGATTTTCTTTAAGAACTATGGTATATTTTAGTCAGTTGAATTTAAAATTCAATGTATATTCAGTTTCACCCAATCCAGATAATCTTCTGAAGTGATACGTAGAATTAGTGTTGTGAGTTTTCTTCTGATATTTGCTAAACCTCTGCTTAATCATATAAATATTTCTCTTTTTCATCCATTGTTTTGTAAAACACAAAGACCTATCATGAAAAATCAATAAACAATACAAAGATGATTCTGTTCAAATGTTAGTTTCTAGGTGGTTCATTAGGAAGACATTGCTCATGGCAGCGATGGACAGACTTCTCTGGGTTTCTTGTTAAAGGGTTATTCTGATCAAATTTCTATGACAGTGCCGAGAACATAAGTGATCGATAAATATTGGATTTTATTAGGCTTCTAATAAGAATTGGAACAAAAGTTTTGTGGGGGTTAAGTCTGACTATATAATGATATGTATGATTCTACAAAAACATAGAGCTCATGAGATAGTACTATAAACCAGATCAGTAAAGCCTAGGATCCTGGACCTGTGTTACAACTACTATGATGGTCCAAGTTCTTGAAGGCAGAGTCTGGCTAGGCAGGGCAGATCGCATATAGGCAACAGACCACAGTGTGAGGGAGTGGTTTTCATTATCGGGAGTTTCACAGGGCTTTATGAGTGGACCTTGGGTGATGGGGGGAGAACGATGATCTGGGATGATGTGACAGTAATAGGTCCATGCAGACAGGGGCTTTGAAACAAGAAGTACTACAGAACAAGAACAAGCAGATTCCTGGTCTTTGATTAAATGAGCAAACATATGTGAAGCGCTTAGAACAATGCCTGGCACAAAATGCTCAGCGTCAGCCCACTCTTAGACCCCAACCTCCAATGCCTGTAATGACCAAGTAAATCACAGAAATAAGTGAAGCAGGTGGAGTGAGGGCTATGGGGAGTAGAGAGCACATGGGCCTCTAAAGGACAGCTGCCACTCATTTCCAGCAGGTTGTTACCATGAAGAATGGGACCCAGTGTTGTCAGATCGTCCAGTGTTTCAAAAGTAGTTGGAAATTTGTGTTTTTATCTAACATTTTGTGATTTTTAAATTCAGAGCCGTGGTGGCGCAGTGATTAAGAGCTCGGCTGCAAATAAAAAGGTTGGCAGTTTTAATCCACTGGCAGCTCTTTGGAAACACTATGAGGCAGTTCTACTCTGTCCTATAGGGTCGCTAAGAGTTGGAAGTTTTTAAATACAAGCAACTGACTTACAAGAGTTCAAACACTGTGTCAAACAAAATGTGTGTAGTCCTTAGGCTGCCCATCAGGAGATGTCCGCTTCCAAGGAACTGGAGGTCCTAAGCAGGTTTGCAAGCAGGGACTCAGCCACAGGGGGAAAGAATGCTAGAACTGGAGTACAAGTTCTTGGGACTTGATTACAGGAACAAGTGACTTAAACTGGGACATAAGATCAGGACAAGAATAACAGCAAGCTTAACTGAATGCTGAATCACCTGAACTAGGACTTCTTAAATCTTTCTGAATAAGAGCAGTATGGGGCCAGACCAGAAATGGAGCTAAATTTACTGGTAAGAATCAAGTGGCCCATGGGACCATAGTCTTGAGGGACGTCTATGTCAATTGGCATAACATGGTTTATAAAGAAAATGTTCTACATCCCACTTTGGTGAGTAGCATCTGGGGTCTTGAAAGCTTTCAAGCAGCCATCCAAGATACACCTATTGGTCCCATCCCTCCCGGATCAAAGGAGAATGAAGAAAACCAAAGACACAAGGAAAATACTAGCTCTGAGGACTAAGGGATCACATGAACCAGAGACTCCAGCAGCCCGAGACCAGAAAAACTAGATGGTGCCCAGCTACCACTGATGACTGCCCTGACGGGGAACACAACAGAGAGTCCCAGACAGAGCAGGAGAAAAATGTGAAACAGAATTCAAATTCACATAAAAAGACCAGGCTTAATGGCCTGACAGAGTCTGGAGGAACCTCCGAAACTATGGCCCCCAGAAGTTCTGCTCACCCAGAACTGAAATCATTCCTGAAGCCCACTTTTCAGACAAAGATTAGACAAGCATATAAAACAAAAAATTAATCCACGTGAGGAACGTGCTGCTTAGTTTAATCAAATATATGAGACCAAATGGGCAGCTCCTGTCCAAAAGCAGGGCAGGAAGGCAGGAAGGGACAGGAACTGGAGAAATGGACACAGGGAACCTGGGGTAGAAAGGGGGAGTGTACTGTCACATTGTGGGGATTGCAACCAGTGTCACAAAACAATATGTGTATATATTTTTGAATGAGAAATTAACTTGAGCTGTGAACTTTCACCTAAAGCACAATAAAAAAAATTGCAAATTTTCTAAAATAAAGCAAAGAGGACTCAGAGCCTGGGATGGGTCTGGAAAATTAAAAAAAAAAAAAAAAAAGAATCAAGTGGCCAGCTGTGGAATGTAAAAGGCTATGTAGAAGGAAGCAAAGCAATGTGTTAAAGGCACATGGTGCCACGTTCTATCTCTTACTTTTCCTACCAGAAACCCTGGTGGTGTGGTGGTTAAGTGCTATGGCTGCTAACCAAAAGGTCAGCAGTTGAACACCACCAGGCGCTCCTTGGAAACTCTATGGAGCACTTCTACTCTGTCCTATAGGGTCATTATGAGTCGGAATCGACTCAGTGACGATCAGTTTTTTGGGTTTTTTGGTTTACTCTTCCTACCTTCTTTTACTTATCCAACGTTTATATTGGGGTTACTGTATGCCTGACACTATTTAAGTACTTAACAAATATTTACTCATTTCATCCTCATAACAATCCTATGAGATAAATACTAGTAATATCTCCATTTTATATACATGGAAAATAAGACAGAAATTAAGTAGCTTGTCAAGGTCTCACAGTAAAAGACACAGCAAAGATTTGAACCCAGATAGCCTGACTCTAGGGTCTGAGGACTCACTTAACTCCTATTATGTTGCCATGTATGTTTCTTTCTTCCTCCCCTTGTTTTCTGCCTCTTAGCTTGGGAGCAAAGTTTGCTTACATACTCCTCTGATATATATGGATTTGGGTGACACATACCTTGTCACAGAGGTTTCGATACTCGCATAGCAGGGATCCCTGTATATATATGGTAAGGAATCCTGTGACATAAACAAATCTCTTTACGATAGCTGTTAGCAAAGCTGATGAGGAGTGCTTTGAAGAAGTAGACATGGAGCAGAGAGGCTTGGTTTTATGAGTAGGACTACTTCCTTGTGGTGGATCTGTATTATTTACAAGGCTTCTATTAGGCTGCCCATGTCTTAACTGCTAGATGCCTTCATGTACAAATAAGTTGTCAATAGGATCTAAGGATTCTGCACAGACATGTTCAATTGGTATCCTAACTAATTTTATAAAATCAGCTACAAATAACAAATTAATCAAATCACTCCCATTCCCCTAAATACCAACTTTGTATCTGATCTTGAGTTCTTTGAAGGACTTTTTATTTTTTTAATCTACAACTTTTTGCACTTAATTCAATCATCTTCATGCTTCCTTAAGAGTTGGAATCTCTGGAGTTTTCTGAGTACATCGGTATGGTGAAAATATTCCAAATTCCATGACATTGTGTCCTTGAGCAATTCATTTAACCTTTCTAGGCCTCAATTAATCTATAAGAGGAAATTATAATACCTACATCAGAGGTTATTGTGGGGATCAAATGAGATTATGCGTGTGAAATCATGCTTAACTTTTGGTTAACTGCGGTTTATCATTTTATTTAACAAGCAATAACTTAAAAAAAAAAAAAAAACATTTGATAAATCACATGCTAGACTTTGGGGAGATGGCAAATATGAGTGTGTTTCCCCATGTGGAAGAAACATGAATATACTCTCTGCTGGAAATGGCATATTTAGCACACAGCCATTAAGGTGGCTATGCTTTGGATCTTGGCCTGGCTGCGATCACTTCTCCACTTTGTTCCCGACTCACTGGGTAACCTTGAGCAAATCACTGTTACTTTTGCAGTCTATTTTCTCATTCCCCAGTGTTCTCTGCTTTGTTTCCTCTTCACTTTTCTCGTGTTCTGGTTGGTCTAATTTCAGCTCTATTTAATGAAAACACGACTTCAGAGTTCCCCAGGGCTTTTAGTCATATTGCATAAGAACGCTTCCTTCTTTAAAAATATTACCTAGATGACAAATTTTAGCTTATATATTAAAGTCGCTGCAAAAAATAATTTCATTACAACTAAATGTATTAATTTTGCTTCTTAACAATTTGATTTTGGAAATAAATGTCCTTGTGGAAACCGCGTCTTGGCATACATGAACATGGTGATTGAATAACTAGAGGAAATCTGTGAGGTCAAAGGGAATTTTTAAGTAAATGTGTAATAAAGTATAAAAGATGGTTAAAGGGATCTCTTCCTTTTTTTAGGAAGGTAAATTAAGGGACATTAGAGCTTTTAAGCCATCTGCCCTTAAAGAAGAGCTCACAGGTCCTTATCTCAAATAAACTCATTCTCGTATGATGTCATGACATTTTAGGGTTGGGATGGGATCTTGCACGTGGCATACTCCAGCCTTTCACGCAAAGCAGGAATCCCCTATATGAAGATTTAATAATCACTCAAGGAGATGCAAGGATCAAAAAAAAAAACCCACATTTTCCCATGTTAGCCCTCTCTAGTTTCTATTTTTCACTCAGTCTTTTTATCCCATTAGATGTTGGATATTATGCCAGGTACTGAAAATACTCTGTTCTTCGAGAGTTCAGAGTGAATAGAGCCTGCTAATGACTTAAGTCCAGTTCCCTGAAAGCTGAGTTAGTGAAAAGATAGCACGTTGTCCTCTGGATACTGTGTGGCCCACTGACATGGTGCCCCTCCTCTCCAGACACGCTTCTTCTTTTCAGCACACCTTCAGAGCTCTGTCAATACACCATCCAAGCAAATCTCATCCTTTCTACTTTAGAAAAATAAAATGA